TTCCTTCCTTCCTTCCTTCCTTCCTTCCCTCCCTCCCTCTCTCTCCCTCCCTCCTTCCATCTCTCTCCCTCCCTCCCTCTCTCTCTCTCTCATGTGTTTAGGTGTCACTTTACATATATAATGGTGGACTAGCATACGTGTCTTGCCGTGGTTGACCATTACAAGTAAGATGTGAAAATCACTTATTTTAGATGCCTTTTCTTCTCAAGTTTCAGATAGTATTGTCTTAAGTATCGGTATTAAGCAAAAGGCTAGCTTTTGCTTTGATTGTCACATATGACTTGAAAACATCATGAGGACAATCATACTGTATCGTCCATTATCTATCTGTTGTTCTTTATCCTAACTGATGCTCCCAAATTCCTTCTTGTTATCATTTCTTTTATGATTACTTCAATTTCTATAGCAAATATTTCAGAGCAGCCTCCTAGTAACAAACACTTTTAGTGTTCACTTCTGTGGAAGTCTATTTCCCTTTTATTACTTGAGACTAATTTTGGCAAACACGGAGTTTATGATTTTCAGCATTAAGCAGTGTAGAGCCACTTCTGAGTTTCTAATAAGACATGTGCTATCACTGACAAGGTGTTCCTCTCTGTAATATGGCATAGCTCTCTTGCCTTCTGAACTTTTATCTTTGTCCTTAGTTTTCAGATGTTTAATTTATGCGTCTTAGCATACATTTCTTTGGGTTTATCCTGTTTTGGATTTGCTCGATTTCTTGAATCTATGAGTTCATGTTAATCAACCTGGGATCATTTTCAGGGATTACTTCTTCCAATTATTTTTCCGTCCCCTTTTCTTTGTCCTCTGAGAGTTCAGTTGCCTCACCTCTTGGAACTTTTGTCACTCTGCAACAAATACTTGGGGGCCTGTTCCCTTTGCTTCGGTATACTTTCTGTTTTAGATAAAGTGAATTCTCTCAGTCTATTTATTCTCTAGTAAGTGGGCCTGCCCAATAGATTCGTGCTGTTATTTTGTTAGTTTTACAATTTCTATTTGAGCCTTGTTTAAAATTTCTCTTTAATTCTACTTTTCACTTGCTTCAAGAAAATTTATTTATTTATTTTTTTTTTAAAGATTTATTTATTTATTTATTTTATTAGTACACTGTCGCTGTCTTCGGACACACCAGAAGAGGGCATCCAATCTCATTACGGATGGTTATGAGCCACCATGTGGTTGCTGGGATTTGAACTCAGGACCTCTGGAAGAGCAGTCAGTGCTCTTAACCGCTGAGCCATCTCTCCAGCCCTCAAGAAAATTTATAATTAAATCATTTTGTGAAAGTTGTTTTAAGATCATCATAGGATAATTCTAACATCTACTTTCTCTGGGAATTACTATAGACATTTCTCATTCATATTGTGATTTTCCTGATTTACAGTATAATATATAACTTCCTAGTATATCTTACTTTTAGTGTGTATTCTAGGGGACAACTGATTTAAATCTTTTAGTTTAGCAGGCAGTCCTGGGTCAGGTTTAGCATGCAGATACTTGCCTTGTTTTTTCTGTGACAAAGACACAGACCTTTGCAGATCTGTTGTGGTTTTCTTGGTAAATCTCCAGCAACTAGAGTTCCCACTGGTAAACTTGACAAAGGAGCCTTTACTACCACTGAAGCCCAGTTCCTGGGAAAAGGAAGTCTGTGGCTTAATACAACGAAGACTGCTGAAAAGGGTTGAGTGCGAGTGTGTGTGTGTGTGTATGTGTGTGTGTATGTGTGTGTGCGCGTGCTTATGTTCCCATGAAGGGGGAAGAAAGTGAAAAGTGCTTCCCAACAAGGTGCTTATTATGGCAGGTGTTCCTTACCAGTGTCACCCTGTCTCAAGGTGCCTTCCAAATGGAGAGAAAACTTTGAAGGCAGGTAGGCCGTCTGGGAGATGGAGAGGGAATGAGCGTTTGTCAAAGTGTGATGCCACATGCACATGCCTTTCGCCCATGTATTTCCTGATGGAGGACAGTCTCAACCCAAGCACAGAGGAGCACTGTAAGATCCCAAACGCTTGCACAGCATTATTAATGCTGGAACACTCAGCTTCCTGGTGTCTCTGAGTGATACAGGGATTTTAGACCCTATCTAATTTCTTAAATGCAAATTTACAGATAACCCAAAGATGAAAATGCAAAAACGGATGCACAGAATTTCTAATGTAATTTCTGGATATAAATTGGAAGGATGATTCAACCATCAGAGAGTAGTCAGTCACGAGACTGGAAAGGTGACCCAGCAGTGAAGAGCTCTTCCAGAAGACCCAAGTTTAGTTCCCAATACCCATGTCAGATGACTCACAACCAGTCGTGACTCCAGGTTCGAGGAATCCCATGTCCTCTCTGGCATCTGTGGGCACCTGCACACATGTGAACAAACACGCATTCCCACACACATACACATCATTTGTAAATTAATCTTTTAAAAATAGAAGTTAGTAGTACTAGAGGGTCAATAAAACATTCGATAGAATATCGTCTAAGGACGCTCTGTGAGCATCTCCAGGTAGATAATGTTCCTTTGCAAACAAATTTAGAATAAGAAAACTATTCTTGGTTCAGGCTAGCTGAGTCTCTACCTTTTCTGTGAGGTATGATGTCAAAGCCCTGCTTTAATTAAGGTCTGACACAGAGGTGCCACATGAAGGACTTTCTACCTATACTACAGACTCACTATTGAGGACACAATTGGTTGCTAGAATTGTGTCACACAGTTAATTACTTTTAGGATCTAGTAACAAGGAATAGAATGGTTCTTTGGAACCTATCTTAATATACTACATATTAAGGTAATATAGAATATGCAACTTATATCTTTATTTTTGTTTTGCTGTTCAGTAAGCACAAAGCTAAATTCCATTTCAATTTTAGCAACTAGCAAATTTACTTTAAAATTTCCCTTTAATCTCTTAGTTTTCTAACTATATACATGTATAGGAATTATACTCTTTTGGAAGTAGTCATAAGATAAAATAAAATTCAAGATCTGGAGTCTTGCTGATGTTCAATTACTATAATATAAAAATCCTAAGTGTAGCTAGAAAAAAAATAGAGCTTTAAGTTCCTTCCTCTTGAATATCCTGTACCTTCCCAGAAACACCCTCTTGCAAGAAGGGACACAGCAGTAGAAAGAAACTTCCTCCTGTTTCTGTCGATTTGGTGGTGCCCTGGCCATCTACAACTGACTATAAACAATACATTTCACGGGAAGATGCTATAAAGAACTGATGAAACACTTTTTTTTCTCCTAAATGATAATAAAAAATGATGTGACATGACTATATCTGTGTAGGACCATGAAAGGCAGTATGATTTCTGGTTGAGCTAGGTTTGAAACCCTGGTGACCCAGCAGGTGACCCAGCAGGTGACCCCGCAGGGTTCCCTGCAAGGGACAGTAGACATTTGTCACGCTCTCAGACTCCAGGCTCCTGACAAAAGGCCGCAGATCTCCATAGATTTGGGTCCTTTAGTCACGTAAGGACAACGCCCCTACTAGATCCTCCACAGGTAGAGGGTGTGACTACAGGCTACAGAGTCTCAAGACAGATCTCTGTCTTAATGAGGTATCTAAAGGCCAAAGGGGCATAGCCAATTAAACATTCCTTCCTAGACCTTCCTCCTTGCAAAAGGTATTTAACTTCAGGCCCAACATGAGGAAACTGGGTTTACATCTACTTTCCACCATGACAATAAACATCTTAAGACCATGGACTGTTTTTCTTCTTCAGGATCCGCCATGGGGAATAGAGGGGCAGGCCTTAGCCTACAGAGCCGCCATCTAATCTCTCATAGAAGACCTCTCTGAGTTCCCAGCCACGGAGACCACTAACCCAAGCAAGCAAGCCCAGCCAGCTGTGGCCAAGCTAAGCGAGCCACCACGACTAAGAACTCTTCTCCCCATGGGACGAAGCTGGAGCTCATCTCTCCCCCATCCCCTTCGGCTGTGGGCTAATCTAGTCCGTACACCCCCACTTCATTCTCGGCCCTTTTATGGTCCCCCAGCAGCACCGGGGGGTTCAAGAGCCTGAGAACCAGCCAGTTCCCAGCTGCCTTCTGGCCCGGGGACCCCCAAGCCAAGAGCTCCGGCTCCCCGTGGGACTTCAGACTGCACTCCTCCACCCGGAGTGGGGTCCTGCAGCTTCACATATCCCGTTACCCTCCCAGCGCTGCATGGGGAGAGCACAAACTGCATCTTGCTTCTCCAAACAGTGGCCCCAGCCTCTTAGGACCCACACAGGACCCAAAATTCAACCCAACATACCTACATAAATATGTTAATTTATATATCATTATCCCAGAGAAGTACACAATTATAAAATATATTATGTTCTCCCTAAGTCCTACTGTTAGTGAAAATTAACATTTAATATCTACTTAATATTACTTACCTTTATAAACTGACATTATATACACTTAGATTTTACCTCTTTCAATATCATCCATTAGAGACGACGGAGACATCTTATCTTCTGATGAAGAATGCTGCACAAGGTTGGAAGTCCTAGGCGGATTCCACATTTGCTGTTGCTGTTGTTCTAGTCTGTACTGGATTTTGCTACTTCCTTCAACTCTGCAATTAAGAATATCAAATATCAAAAAAAGGTAAGCTAGAAATGTCATAAATTCAATGTACTAAGTTACTGAACTTTATCACTTGTTCTTTAGAAGCCTCTCCAATGACATTTAAGGATTAAATTATTAATCCATTTAACAAATATGTGTCGAGTTCCTCCTGTATGTGTAGTGTACACACAGGTCAATGGAGGGATGCTATGGATAACGATGAAACAAAGCAACTGCTGAAAGGAGCAGACAGCACACTTATAAATGACTACACTATGGAGAAAATGCACGTGCAAATTAAACTAAATCACTCCTACATTCCCCACTCATAATTTTAAAACAGGCATATAAACAAAGGAAGAATACACTTCAGAAACTATGGTTGAGGCCTGCCTTGCCTGTTTCCTGTAATCAAATCCTTCCAGTTCCTCCTTCCTGAAGAGTTAGCCCCTCATTTTCTCTCATTCATTTACACTCCCAAAAATCTTGGTTTACCCATTTTCCAGTTTTCCACATTTTTTTAAAAATTATTATTATTCGGTTTCTTTGGTAATGTTTCAGGCCAGAACTGTAAATGTGCCAACCCTAGTTGGAAAGATCTTAATATGTAACTACTGGCAGCAAAGAAATGTCCTTGCTGGTTCTCAGTTAATATTCAAGGCATTAACCCTAACCTGCCTTTACAACCTAAACTCTAATCCACTACCATTATCCCCCACGTTCCAATTCTTACACACGAGCACAGAGACAAATACCAGCTCTGTTTAAAGAGTCTTATTTATTCACCAGCCCTGAAAGATCAGCTATATATACTCCTGCCGTCACATTGGCTCTCTATATTCTCATATCCTTTCTGGTCAGTTTAAGGGAGCTGGGGCATCGAGGACATTAACAAATAGAGGTTCTCAGGTTTCTTCTCTCAGTTGAAGCTAGCTTTGTGAACGGCTCCTTTGTAAAACACACTTTTGTTAGTGTACATTAGCTGCATAAGAGAATGAGCTTCATCGTGGCATTTCATACGTGTATAATACGCTTCAATATTATCTAGTCTCCAGTCCTTGCTTTCCTCAATTACAGCAGCCTCTGTTTTAAACACACATTAAGCTAATTCTTAGAATTTTAACTGCTTTTAAAGTAACATTTTTCTTTTTTAAAAATTTATTTGTATTAGATTTATTTATTTTACTTTATGTGTTGTGTTTTATCTGTATTTCTGTATTGTGTACCACATGGTACAGAGGTCGTGGAGAGCAGAAGTGGGCACTGGATCTCCTGGGTTTGGAGTTACAGATGGTTGTGAGCTACCATGTTGGTGCTGAGAACTAAACCTGGATCCTCTGTAATAGGAACAAGTGCACTTAACTACTGAGCCATCTCTCTAGCCCCAGAAGTAACATTTTCAACAAAGTTTTTCTAAAGATTTTATCAACCATGATCCCTCTCTTCAATTTTTACAGTAGTTTTTATTTCTACTGTTTGTTTAGCTCTTTGAGCAATGCTCTTATAGTATCTGTTTAAAATGTACCATTTATATCTAAAAAGGATTTAAGGTAGAAATATATATATATATATATATATATTGATTTTTTTAAAATTAAGTGAACTGTTAATATGATTA